TAGTGTGTCAAACCAGGCCACATTATCAGTGAGTTAAAGCAGAAGCAGCAATGGAAATTTTCCATTCTAACTCTTAATGGGCTTGAAAGCAGTAATAAAATATAAAAAAGATGTATTGAAAAGAATTTTCTTCCCTTTTTATATTAAAAACTTTAAAAAATTCTTTAAATAATTATAAGCACATATATGATGTATATTCTGAATATTTTATATCAAAGCTGTCAGAAATTTAATTCCCTGTCACAACCTGCTCATTTCCTGTTACAAAACAAGTTGCACGTATGAGTAAATTTGCCAACCAACACAGAATGCATGTACATAAAACACCTGCAGGCCTCCATGGACACAAATGTACCTTTACAAGAAGCTCAAGCCTCACCATTTTGTTCGCTATAACAACAGCATATGTCTCATTTAGTGATCAGTGGAAAAAATAGGTGGAATTTTATTGTGAAAAGCCGTTTGGGAATGCCTGACAGCTGTGCAGGAAAGAGTTTCACAAATCTTTGTGAGAAGACTGTCCCAGAGGAAGAGCAATTCTGTTTGGAATTTTTCTTTGTGCCATTTGTTTCAAATACATATTATCTGTAGTGTGACCAATGATATATGAAGAATGAGGCAGCACTAAAATTAATTATTTCACACTTAATGAGTTCTTCTCTAACAAAATAATTAGCCTCATGGAACAAAGAAATCTTTGGCTGCAAACCCATGGGTCACAGAGGCCAGGTACTAAAAGACCGCAAGACTCTTCAAATGCTTAATGTTACACTTTTATGTACTAAGGTAATAAGGTAATGACGGTATGGTAATAAGGAAACTTTAAGAGGTGCATTAACTTACAAAAGCCACTCTGTAACAAATGAGATCTATGTAGTAGAGTAAAAGGTGTCTAAAGAGAGTTAATGTGCCTCTTGAAGAATCTAATCTCAGAAAGTATTAATAACATGGACAATAAGATAATCTAGTTCACGAAACACTAACAGCTATGACAGTCTCCCAGTCAGATGTCCTCTCTAATTCCATATACAAGCAAAACTATATCAGGGTAGGTCACATCAAAAGAGAGAGACATACTCAGTATATGGCTGCTATTCTCTTATATCACTTTGTTATCTAAGAATTAAAAGAATTTTCTGTTCTAGATGAAGGTAACAGTCTTTCTAAAATAGGTCATATAAAATAAACTAAGTAATAGCGACAATTCAGAGACAGGCCCTTTACATTTTAAACTTCGATAAAGGAACAGGATTAGACTACCCTCTAGTGGAAGTTCAAGAGAATTCAGTAAACACTTTTCAAACATTATTTTCTCAGTTTTATGATAAAATGCATACTGTGGTTTTTTTCACAGAATAAGAAAGTGTACAGAATCTGGAGATGAGATTCTGTATCAATGAGAAAATATCTCATTGTATACTTACACACTGTCTTTCAATGTACAGAATACTAATCTCACCACATTTGATGCTGTGGTTTTGCATTCTAAACTGTTTTGCAGCACAAGCTGAATTGCATAACACCCATTCAATCCCTTCTGTCACGGAATAACGGTTTTGCAAATTTGCAAAGGCTAGAGAGACTCCCACTAGAATGTCAGCATCTTAATGGCAGGTACCCAGCCTTGTTCACTGCCATACGCCCAGAGCCTATAAACAGTGTGTAGCGCACAGCAGATGCCCAGACACATGGCAGGCACTGTGCTAAGTGGTTACATTTGTCATCTCATTTAATCCTCCAAATATCTATGAGGCAGGTACTCTCATTCTCATTTTGCAGATGAGGAAACAAAAGCTTGGAGCAGTTAAGAAACCTGCCTGGGTCTCACAGTTAGAAAGTTGTAGAATTGGGATCCAAACCCAGATCTGAGAGTTCGTAACCCTTTTCAGTTCCTAGCATACCTTTATCGTGTCTTTTTAAAATGTCAAGCCTTACCAGTAAGTACCAATTAAACAGGCTTTCGTAAGCTGGATAGAAACCAATATAAATGGATTATCTGTTATGTTCTTAACAATTCCTAAGGCGCTAGGTAACCAGGAGTTATATTTATGTAGCCATGAGCTAACATAGCTAAAAGCATTATCAAAAGTCCAAATTGCTCACATAATATAAATCCTTTACTATTTAATAAAGGCAGACCCTCTAGAGCTGTGGTTCCCAACCCCCAGGGCATGGATTGGTACTGATCTATGGCCCCTTAGGAAACAGGCCACACAGTGGTGGACAAGTGAACAAAGTTTTATCTGTATTTACAGCCGCTCCCCATTGTTCGCCATCTGCTCTTCTCCTCCCGCCCCCCATGGAAAAATTATCTTCCATGAAACCAGTCCCTGCTGCCAAAAAGGTTGGGGACTGCTGCTTTAGAGAGTAAGGCAAGACCAAAAGAATTAAGTAGCATGGAAAATGGAGGGACTGATTGGATATGGCATCAGATCTGACAGTGAAAGAGTAAAAAGTCCAAAGACGTTAGGGGAATCCTGTGATTTAATAATATAGGTCGGCTACTATTTTTTTGTAAGTTGTTTTTATTTTTTATTATTACTTGACTATTTAAGCCTTATAATATTATTTCAAGGTATTTAGGTGATAATAGGAGATATTTTGAGGCTACAAAAATCTATTTGTATGTAAGTGAATATTTAAAACACCAAATGCTTCCAATATCTAAGAATGATACACAAGTGCATCAAAATAAATCCATAAAGTATATTAATGATACAGATACATGTTTATACAACCTAACACACAAAATTTGGATTTAAGGTGTTTTCCTGTTGTAAAGAATAAGAATAGCAGCTTTGATTTCATGCAGCTTAAGTTGCTTAGCTAAAAGTCTCACGATTTCAAAACACCTCTCTATGAGCTTACTGTATGTCAACAAATACTAAGCCTCCGGAATTCCAAGTTTTGACACGCTATCTTCCACAATTAGTATTCATTACTAAGCATAAATTTCAGGTGAAGAACAGCAGTAGATTAAAACCCCAAAATAGCATGAACTTCAAATGCTTATAGATAATTCAGATTGGTTTTATAAAAAAACCATTTACATTTTAGACGTATCTTCCAAGCAAACTGAATTAACTCTCTAAAAGGGCACGAGCTGGGTTAGAGGCACAGACAAGGAAAAAAAAGTGACTCAAATTTATTTAGAAGTGACTATCTCCCCAGAATAGTATTTCAGAAAATCTTTTAGCTTTAATTTGCCTTTAGTGATAGATGTTGTCAGATTAGTAAAGAGAGAGAATTCAAATGAGCATTTGGGGATCCCAATCCATTCATTTAAGAAGTCAAAATGCAGTTTCTGAAGAGTAAGGTCATGCCTCACTAAATATCAAACATTTTTCAGGATATTAGAATCCTAATTGAAAATGAAAATACACTATATTCTAAGAAGACTTACATAGATCTCATTTCCAAAGCAGAATTAACTATGAAAATTATTAGAATTATGGTAAAATGCATTTAATCAGTAGAGTAGTATTAAACAAAGAATAACTATTGATAAAAAGATTTACTTTCAGCTGGAAAAAAAGAGACAATGATTATTGTAGGAGAATGTCTCTGCAAAGAAATATACAACCAATGAAAAGCAAGTAAGTCAAAGTGATACAGTTAGATAAGCTAAAAGAAAGTGGCTAAAAAGAAAATTCCAAATATCTTAAAGGCTACTTCCATCAGCTAGTTATCCAAGGCTTGGGAAGGATCATTACTATACCTACGAGAGGGAAATAACGCAGAGGGCAACCACAGACATTTTACATTTCTCTTTTCTGTGATGCCCTGCCTTCAGAAGGAACAAAACACTGACCTGGGAAGGGACTGTAACAGCTAGGGGGCTTGAAGAATACGGTTCGTGAAGACCTACCGACAGCTGCCATCCTACTCTTATCCAATTTAGTATATCGCCGATGTAGCCAGGAGCCTGGATCCATATATTAACTGTATGATACAAGGCAAGTCACAACCTCTCCAAGGCTTACTTTCTTTATCTGTAAAGTGGGGATAATAAAAGCTACTTTTGTAGGGTTCTTGTGAGAATAAAAGACATTTGTCTATAAAGCACCTAATAATCTCTAGTAGGTGCTATAAATGTTAGCTACTGTTATCAGCAAGGGCATTCCAAATACCACTTGTCTATTTTACTCACAAAAAAACTGGTTTATGATTTGCTAATTACTTTGTAAATCAGTCTTGTTTTGCTTTAAAAAAGGCAATATTAAAAAGAGAAAGAGATGACAGGGTATCCTTAGCTTCTCACCTATGAAACTAGATCAGGGTATGAGCTTAAGAAGTTTATCTCCTGTATAGATAGCTCCTACCTCCTACTTCACTAAGATCTCAGCTTGATTAGAAAATAGTAAGCCATAATATCATCCTCAGATGTGGTACTGTCAAACATAAAATAATTTTCTGAACATAAACCCAAGAAAAAAAGAATACCAACATAATCCATCCAAATGAAAACAACAACAAAAATAAACTTTCACAAAGTATATATTTAGCCAAACACCCTCCTTTAACAGGATTTATGTGATCTGTCATCAGTTTGAGGATTAAAAAAACATGCTATAAAACATAAAGCTCTTGCAGACCTAAATTTTAAAACCAACAATTTTTGGAGTACATCCTATGGTCAAGACAAAGTCACCTAATCCCTTTTATTTTCTATATTTATATTTTTAAACAAAGAGACCCAAGAGACCCAATGTCACAAAGACAGCCCCAAGTCACTTTAAGAACCAACGAAATTATAATTATGTGTCTTGAGCTGAACTGAGGCATAAACAGTTAGAGGTATATTTTAAAAATAACTTCTATACTTCAAATCATTTTCTATCTAATGCTCAGTTAATGAGAAAATGAAATTAACTAGAACTCATAACTGTCAAAAAAAAAATCCTGTTAACAAAGAATTTAATGTATTTTTAAAAGCTATGAAATTACACCGTTCTGTCCGAATAGTTTTCATTCCTAAAAGATGCAAACGTCATACTTACTCAGACTTGCTGTCATGGATTCTAAATCTGCCATTAAAGCTGGGAGCTGCTGGAGCTGCTCCTGCAACTCTATGAGGCTCGTCCTTTTCTTCTCCCAGTGTGCTGAAAGCATGACCACCTCACTATCCACCAGCTGTAACGCACAAGAGGAGGGGTGAAGTGGAACCAAATTGCAGGCACAAAGAAGGTACTGTTAGCATAATGACATTTAATGTTATCTTTAACAATCCCTCCACTGAGTACAGATGACAGTACATTCTAAAGGAGACTGAAGTTGTTTTCCTTTTTAGAAAAGAATCAACTTAATACTCAGTGCAAGAAACCTCAAATTACTGCTTGTATCAGTGCTTCTTAACCCACAGAAGAGAAAGTTCAAAAATGACCTTAGAAATCACTGCTAAGTATACCCTGTTTTTAAGTAAACCATATATTTGAAAATCTAAATCTATTATGGAAAAAAATAAAACAAAAAACTACCACTAACAACCAAAAAGAAAACAAACAAAAACAAACCCAAAACATAATTAACTGGTAACTATTTGCTTTACAAAAGGAATTCTTTAAACAGAAAAGTTCCCCAATTCATGTAGAATATGCCATGATTCATTCAATTTACGTTTAGGAACATTTATTGCGTTAAGTAAGGTAAATCATAATTGTACATGAAGGAATTATTGAGGCAACTGATTAATTCCATTAAAAGAATAAAAGATTTAAGGTAACAAAGAAGGAATTCAGCCTATAAAGGGCTCCTAATAGCAAGGTTGTGAGATTCTAGACTAGCCTAAGATAATTCTAACTTCTTTTCCTGAAGACATTAAAGAAAATGACAGACATCAGTTTCTCCCAGACAATTTTGGTCTTAACATGATGGGAGAGAAAAAGGCCTAGAATAAGATTTAGGAGGAGCAAGGAGAGGTCATCTTTTGAAAACATCACCTTCCATAAGCAAGAATTGTGAAAAACACCCATATTCTGTACAATAAAGGTAGCAAAATCCATTATATGACAGAAGAAAAGGCATTTGAATTTTATAAGATCACTGAGTTCACAGTTAAATTATTCAAAAAAAGACAATTTACACATCCCAAGATAAAGGTTCTTAAAGAGTTAGAATCTAAATACAACTGATACTTACTAAATCTCACTAACATAAGCAATAACTTCAGAGTAATCAATAAATCAAAGTAAGATAAATTATTTTTATGTGCTGCTAGATTGGTTTTGTTTCTACATTTTAACAGAGTAGGAATTCACATTTGAAATAAAGGAACTATGCTATGAAACATCTCCCTATTGTTTTTCAGAGCACACTGGAGGGATAACCACACTATTTCTCACATTCAAGCCTCAACTGAGCTGGGAAGGTGACACCAAGCTTTATGCAAATTGCATTTCTCATTAATTATGTATACTTAAAAATGAATACTACCAACTGGTCTTTATAAAGGTCTCTAAAAATAGCCTGGGGGCTCATGCCTGTAATCCCAGCACTTTGGGAGTCTGAGGAAGGAGGATCTGTTGAGGACAGGAGTCTCAGACTAGTCTGGGCAGCACAGAGAGATCCCAATTCTACAAAAAATTTTAAAACTTAGCTGGATGTGGCAGTGCATGCCTATAGTCCTAGCTACTCTGGAGGCCTTGAGCCCAGGATTTCAAGGCTGCAGCGAGCTATGATGACACCACTACACTCCAGAGTGAGACCCCATCACACGCACGCGTGCGCGCGCACGCACACACACATACACGCACACACACACACAAGCTCAAAATAGCCTTAAAAATACTGAACAGTGCTAATAGATAACAGTTGCAATAAAATAAGGAAACCAAAGTTTGAAATAAGGATTTGTGTTCATAAAATTCATTTATAATATTCAGTAAACTTACACTGACCACCCACTATTTGCTAAGCACTGTTTTGGGCACTGAAGATGTAATAGTGAACAAAGTAGAAAAGAAAATCCTGCCCTGCTGGCGTTTGTGTTTATATGTTGGTGGCATGACTCACAAATTCTCTTAGCTTCAGATTTTAAGGGTCAGGAGAATGAAGAAAAATCAGGTAACACCAATGATTTACAATATGGGTAGTAACAGGATCTTACTTTGTATAAAATTCAACAGTTCAGAGTTTTGAGAGAGACATCATTTATTTGATTTCCAAACAATTTTATCTGATAAGCAGAATACATGGTATTACACCATTTTATAGATGAAGAAACTAGGACAGAGGGACTAAGTTATTTGCCCAAGGTCAAAACATATTAGTGCAGCAAGGAGTAGAAACCAGGATTTCCAACACCTAGTTCAATTCACTCTCCACCACCCAGAGGAAATCCATCCTGAATGCAAAGAGAATGAAACAGTCTAATTCAACTGGGTTAATGTTAAACTGTTCAAGAAAACCATGAATCTTGAAAGTTCAATGTGAAGGCAAGCTAATATTTCACAATGACAGGAATTAGAAGCAAAACACTGGAAGTCTAACTTTAGAAAACTGCCCCTGCAGTCTAACCCCTAAGTCATGAGATATTAACTATTCACAGTCTTCATTTACACATTGTTAAGGGAGGAAAAAAAGTTTAACAACTTACGTAGAAAAAGCCTAGACAATAAAGTTACCATTGACCATAGCTGTTTGTTTTATAAGATATTGCTCTGAATTCTAAGACTACACAGTAAGAACTAGCTTTAAAGTAGATGAGTATGAAATAATTTGTTAAACAAGATCTTGTCCCTAAGTATATTTGCCCTGAGAGGTTGATGCTGTTTGGTTAAAAGTCACCAAAGACACACAAACAGGTCTGAAAAAATAAGCACATGATAACTTTAACATTGTGCATATTAAAGATATACATTTAAATATTTGCCTTTGACTCAACAATATATTACAGAAGCCTTTAAAATAAATTTTCATTTATTTTTTCAAAGCTGGATACTGTTATATATTTCTGGAAAACAACAGAGGTACTTTTGATCAGATGTGAGTTTTAAAAGAACCAAGTGTGGCCGGGCCCAGTGGCTCACGCCTGTAATCCTAACACTCTGGGAGGCCAAGGTGGAAGAACTGCTTGAGGCCAGGGGTTTAAGACCAGCCCGAGCAAGAGGGAGACCCCCATATCTACAAAAAAGTAGAAAAATTAGTGGGGCATGGTGGTGCACACCTGTAGTCCCAGCTACTTAGCAGGCATCACCGTACCCAGGTGACAGAGTGACACCCTGTTTCAAAATATATAAATAAAATTAAATTAAAAATGAATAATATCCTTTATTCATATAAGCTTTATCCTGAAGATGGATTTGGGATTGTCTAAAGCTTAATAAAGCTCGCTACAAACATTCTGGTACAAATTTCCTGGTGCACACATGCAAGAATTTCACAAATGAGTTACAGATGTGTCCAAGATATTGATCTCCTCACCTAATAGGCCCCAGGGTAACTGGACTCCCCCTCCATGCCCTTCTGCAGCCTAGATGCAATGCTCTGGAAAAATCCCCGAGAGTAGAATCATTGTTTGAAAACTAAGTGCAACTTCAACTTCTACTTAATGCCAACTTACTTTTTCTAATGCAATTGTTCCAATCAATTTACATCCCCAAGTTCTAGTTCCTTCTTCCAAGGAAAGAAATGAAACTGTAATCTGCAAATAATGATCATCTGCACAAAGAAAACTCAAAGCTTCTTAATTTTTGATAATCTAATGAGTGGAAATTTGTGGTTTGCATTTCCCTGATTACTAAGCAAGGCTGAACTCAATTTCATGTTCACTGGCCATTCATGTTTTCTCCTCTGTATAATGCCTGGTGATATCTTTTGCTCACTTTTCTACTGGGTTATTACAGTCCTCTCTTTATTGGTTTGTAGGGGTTGTTCATATTTTCTGAACCCTTGTCCCCTGTCTTGTTATTTGCTTGTGAACTGGTTAATTTTTCATGGTGTTGTTTGATGAACAGAAGTTTTTGACAAAAATTATCAATATTTTTATTGATGGTTGGTGCTTTTTATAACTTGTTTAAGAAATCTTTCCCTACCCTGAGGGTCTTAAACATAATCCTTCTACTATTTTTTCTTTCCTTTCCTTGCCTCTCAGTTGGGATATCTCTTTTACTATTTTCTAAAAAATGTATAGTTTTCCCCTTTCACATTTAAGTCTGATGAAACCAAAATTTGAACCAAGGTCTTCAACTACTTTTATTCAACATTATACCGGAGGTTCTACCCAGTGTAAAAAGACATGAAGAAATAAAAGTTGTATGGATTGGAAGGGAAGAAACAAACCTACCATGTACACAAAACAACTCTCAACCCCAAATACAAGCTATTAGAACATGAGAATTTAACAAGATGGTCAAATATGGGATCAAAATGCTGCAAGTTAAATACTGCAGGTTTTAGGTAGATACCAGGACAAAGAAGCTGTCTTCTATTAAAAATCTGCTAAAAGTTTTTACTCTAAATAGGTATTTAATTTTAATGAACATATTTTCTGCATCCAATGATGAATTATCTCTTTTAATATTTAACACGGTCACTTACATGTAAAAGATTTTCTAACATCAAATCAACCTTTAATCCTGGAATAAACCTGCTGTATTTTGTTTTGTATACATTGCTGGATTTGGTTTGCCGAAGTGCCATATGTTAAAGAATATCTCCCAGGTAGAATGCCTGTTATTATCCAATATTCACAAAACATACAAATATCAATACAAAGTTTTGGCTGATGTTAAATAGGAAAACTTCATATTTAAGCTCGATACGCATTTTAAAACAATGTGTGAGAAGATTCTCAAATTGCATTTCTAATACAATTGTTAGAATATAGGAATCCTGAGGTAGTACGAAGAACGCATGCATAGAGAATATACGTTGACAGTATTGAGAGGTCGAGTTGCTACACACAAAGAAACTTTATTAACAATCATATCAAAAGGTCAGTAATCAAAAAATAATGTTTTAAGCATCTTATATCCTAACAGATTCCTACCTATATATGGGCATTTTTCTGATTTTAAATACATTTAAGGAAGTTGGTTAAGGGTTTTGGGTTGACACATAATATACTGTAAACTTCCAATTTAAAATACGGGAAATAGGTTCCTGGCTAGAATGTTTACATGGATGTCATTTTC